CTGAGCTGAGTCAACCTTGAGCTGGTCAGAATCGAACTACTGGCAGTCGGCAGAATTAGCCTGCAATACTGCATTCTAACCACTGTGCCACCACAACTGAGGGGTCCTTGGTGCTCTCTGAGCTTGGTGGTTTTAACAGAACAGAGTAACAGAGTTGAAAGGGGCCTTGGAGGTCTTCTAGTCCAGCCACCTGCTCAGACAGGAAATCCTATACCATTTCAAACAAATGATTGTCCAATCTCTTCTTGCAGATGTTTCATTACCCAAGCTAGGTAATATCATCAGCACTAGTGAGAGAGCACCAAGACCTCTCATTTCAACCCTGAGCTATAAATACTGTCCTTTATTGATTTATCTGACTTCTTTTGACCTGTTCATGAAATGAATAGCTTCCATTGTGATTTCTTTGAAACCTAACCGTAAAGCTTACATTAACAGAGTAGCTTCTCTTACACTTGGGAAAGAAAACCTTTAGCCTACATGGAGATACTCTGCTCACTGCAACATTGCATTGTCATTACTGACACTGGACCTTTGCTTTGCAATGTCATGTATTGTGTCCTTGATGCGTTTTTGTAGAACACGAGTTGGAAACTGCTGATCTATATTTCTGAAAAGCCACAGCCCAGTTTTGTCCTTGATTTCCCTCTGTCCTTTTACAGGGCATCACTACTCAGCAGTATTCCTATTATAAATGTTTGTGTAGCATTACAGAAGTTGCTTCCTATTCAAGCAAAACAAATGGGTAACACAATCATCTTAGGTGGCTGATTTGAGAACAAGTCTCAGTTCAAATCAAATCTTTATTACGGTCATAGACTAGCACAGGAGAATAAATCTGTTTTTATACAAGATTATTGTATTCTACTGGTTTATATATTCTTAAGCAGGATTCTTTCTCGATTTTGTTTTTAAATTGGGACTGAATCCAGAACCTTCCACATATTTGTGGCCTGTCATTAACTGGGGCCTCTCTTGCCATCTGCCATTAAAAGGTGTTTTTTAATAAATAAATAAATCACTTCTATTACCATAGATGAAATTAGAAGGAATAACAGAATAAGTACAATTGGAAATTTCTGCTTTTTGATAGAATTTCCATTTAGGCTATGTTCTGAAAGATTGACAGGCCACAACGTGAATGTCTGGACTTATGGTCTAGAGAGCTGGAGCAGCTAAGAACATTTCTATTGTAAATGAATTAATTAAAAAGAATATCCTGTTTTTAATGGAAATGCTGTTGCCTGCTCTAGCTTGTCTGCAATATGAAAACAAGTTTTGGTCATCCAGTTTTGGTCACCACAATGTAAAAAAGATATTGAGACTCTAGAAAGAGTACAGAGAAGAGCAACAAAGATGATTAGGGGACTGGAGGCTAAAACATATAAGGACCGGTTGCTGGAATTGGGTATGTCTAGTCTAATGAAGAGAAGGACAAGGGGTGACATGATAGCAGTCTTCCAATATCTCAGGGGCTGCCCCAAAGAAGAGGCAGTCAAGCTATTCTCCAAAGTGCCTGAAGGCAGGACAAGAAGCAATGGATAGAAACTAAACAGAGAGAGAAGCAACCTAGAACTAAGGAGAAACTTCCTGACAGTTAGAACAATTAATCAGTGGAACAACCTGCCTCCAGAAGCAGTGAATGCTCCAACACTGGAAGTTTTTAAGAAGAGACTAGACAACCATTTATCTGAAATGGTATAGGGTTTCCTGCCTGAGCAGGGGGTTGGATTAGATGACCTCAAAGGTCCCTTCCTATTATTATTATTATTATTATTATTATTATTATTATTATTATTATTATTATTATTATTATTATTATTATTATTATTATTATTATTATTATTATTATTTCTATATCAAGAACAGCAGTTATTGTCTGAATCTTACATAGTAAACAAAATTTCTATGCTTTTCCTCAAGGTCATAGCTCTACTCCACTCCCGTGTTATACCAGCAGCAAAGAGATGCTTTGATTTTAGAGTTCATGGATCCGTGCAGGACAGACTGACCATCTCAATATCTTGAGAAGTACCAATAGAATGACAATCATTAGCTTGAAAGGCAACCCCCTAAGTTATAATCTTGTCATAGGTTGTCCTAGTGCATCTCTTTTATTTAATTTTTGTAAAATTAAACAGATGATAAAAACGTGATCTCTGCTGAACCATGCTCAGTTTTAATGCGTGGTTAGTGACCCCAGCATTTGGAGACCATATAAACATTGTTTGCATAAATCTTAGAAGCAATCTCCAAAGGAAACAAATAGAAAATTGCATTCTTTCCATCATACAGTAATTTTTCCTGTCATATGGTAAATTTACCCTACAGCAACTGGGAACAAAAGGATGCAGCTATTTTTTTTCATGAAGTTGGTTTTTCAACCTGAACTTGGGACAAAAGCATGAAATTCCATACAAGGTCAGAGTAAGCAGAATACTGGGTTTTATGTTAAAAAAAAATGGAGAACTGTTCTTTAAACAACTTTTTCCTTTTTCCTTGCCCTTTTCTTTTCCCCTTTCCCTTTTTCCCTTTTCTTTCCTCTCCCCTCCCCCTCTCCCCTCCCCCTTCTCCTCCCTCTCCCCTCTCTTTTATACACAGTATTGCTTACATGCATTTTATTTTCAAACAATTCCATATGGACTTGTCCAAGCTGCTTGTGCCCCAACAATTGTAATAATGCCCACAACTTTAATTGCAGGCTAGAATAGTTCCAAGCAGAAAAACCTCAATTGTGTACATTTCGTATATGAGCTAAGCTAAATAAAACAGGTAAACGAAACTATGAGAGAAGGCACGAGAAAAAGCGTTGGAATCTTATAAAATGTTATCCTGCACTTTGATAAATCAGTATAGGAGAAACTCAAAAGTCAATGAGAATTAAAGGAATTCAATGGCTTCTAGTTTTTAGAATTATTTTTAAATGTGTTTTTAGACTTTAATGAGGTGTCAAGCCTAACATGTTCTCCCAAGCCCTGTATTGCTTCCTTTGATTAAACTAATAGTTCTAGAATTGATAAATAGTCTTTTGAAAACAGATTAGCTCTTCAAAAAACAAGTTTACAAACTGTGTCTTTATACTTATTAAACATAATCCTTCTGTCCTCATGATCCTCTTAGATTAAGCCAGAACACATGGAAAAAATGAAACAATAAGCCGTATCATCATAATATCTTTATTACAAGCAATCAAATATACTTCACTGTTTATTCCATTCCTGGGAAAGATTTCAAGTTTCACACTTCGGCTTCAGATGTTTGCTCTGATGTCAGAATAATGAGCATTTTATACTAAAGAAATAAAAAAGGCTATCACAACTATTTAATATTAAAAATAGCCTATGGTGAAGGCCAACAGAGGAGAGAAGAAGTCATTAATATTTTGCAGAACAATTAAGGAAGACGCCCAAGATAAAACAAAGTTTTTAAATTGTGACACTATTCAATCTCTCTCAGAGGGAGAAAAGATTTACTAGATTAGGCAGAGATATGGGTGTCCTTTTTCAAAAAGACTGTGTTTTGTTCTTTAAGTGATTGTTTTTTTGGATAGCATCCAATTTAATTTCTTTGCTGAATCCTTGGGAACAAAATGAGAAGGACTCTTAGAAGCTGATCCTTACCTGTAAAGAAAAATCATATCTCTTAAAAAATGGCATCCAGTTCTCAATTTTCCAGGGAAATGGTACACCTACCATAAGTACATCCTTGGGAAAGAGTCTTCAGTCTAATTGCAGTAGGGTCAACCTATTTTCCAAAGCACCAGAAGGGAAGACAATGGATGCAAACTAATCAAGGAGAGAAGCAACCTAGAAATACGGAGAAATTTCCTAACAGTATAGCTTGCTTACAGAAGTTGTAGGTGCTCCATCACTGGCTGCAGGTATAGGGTCTCCTGCTTGAGCAGGGGGTTGGATTAGAAGACCTCCAAGGTCTCTTCCAACTCTGTTATTCTATTATTTTACCAAAGAACAGAATGACAACTGGGAGACAGGCATGCCTCTTCATGCAAACAAAGATTTCCCCTTAGATTCTACTGAAGACCTACATTCTAGGATCATCTTTAATAACTCAGTTAGCTTGATGTGAGTCTTTCCTCTAAGGCACCTACTTTCTGTAACATTCTGTCCTGTTTTTTCTCCTCTTTAGGCCAAATAATGTTCAGCTCAGTTCTCTGACAGTCTACTTATTTTATACCCAAGGTCCGCAGTCTTTAATTTGGATAACTTTGGTTAAAATGTGGGTTTTTCATGCAATATGTGGAATGTTCTTTTGGCACAGAATATATGCAGCTTTGATTTATTGCAGGTTAATCCAGGATAAGAAAAGTGATTGGAGAGATATACCTACTCTTTATTTGATTATTTTTTTCCCTTGCATCTATCTCTTAGCTCTCTTTACTGTAAACCTCTTTTATTTTTCTTGGATGAAGCAGTTGAGCGGTTAACCTCCTTTGAATAACGTTTGATCAACCAATAATGACTTAACTTATGCTGTGGTATTTCTCTCTCTCT